TGTTTTTCTTGCAGCCGGAGACCATTATCGGCCCGCGACTCTGTCGCAATCGTATTTTGCGCGACAGATAATTTCTCCCTCTTTGCCATCGAATGGAATACACGCTCTCGCTCTTTCTCCAATTAACGCGATTCATTTTCCTTTTTTCTTTTTTTCTTTCATGTTTTCATCGCGAAATGTCGCGCCGTTGCATACCGATAGGCAAACGTAAGATTCTCAACATTTCGGGAAAAAGAAATTGTTTTTCCAAATCCTGAACGCGAAGGACGAGGTTCGTCGATCGGTAGATCGCTGTTTCGCGAGCACACGTGGACGATTTCGTTCCGAGAACGTGACTTGGCACTGGTTCATCGAACGTCCGCTCGAAAGAACTCGACGAGGCACGAAACTCGTGTATCGCGAATGGAAAACTCGTCGCTAATGAACCGACGTTCCTGCGTCAAACTCAATGTTCCGCAACATTGTTCGTGGAACTCCTCGGAGCTCGTAAGACGCGTACGAAAATTTTCTCTTGAAAATCCGATGTTTATCGTTCCTAAACCTTACGTCTCGATAAACAGTCCATCCCGTCGATATCCCAAGATATTTCCTGCAACGTCGGTGGGAGTGCAAGTCCCACTCGTAAATCTATCAATGTCGCGCGATGTCGTTCGAACGATACGTCGTTAAGCTAGGTAATTAAATGCCAACGCTCTGTCGTTGAAAAACACAGTCGGTGAAAAACATCTTGTATCGAGAAAGTTTATATTCGCGAGGATAGAGAAACGTGCTTCTTCGAACCTGTTGACTACTAGTCCATCACGTGACCGGAAACGTTTAAATCGATCTCTCGCGGATCGACGAGTCTTATCAAAAGTGCACGGAATCGATTCCTCTCGACTTTTCCTCCCCCTGTTTTTCTTTCGTAATATCTTCGGTGGTCATTCTCCTGCAATACGAACGCGTGTCTGAAACTTCGATGAATCTATTTTCTGCTCGTCTGCGGTCCGTAATCGACTCTCGATCTTCTGAGAAGATGGACGGTACAGGTTTCTCAGATAGCCGATTCAATTAAACATTCCATTGTTCTGTGCTTACCAAGAATCCTGCGATCATCTTTGTAAACGCAGCTGCGTTACAAGTCGTTACGTCATGCGTCGAGCGATCGGGCTGAGGACAGGATCGGATACGCATCCATCTTGGTTCCGCTGATCCTGGATCCGCTTACCGTTTCTTCAAACACTCCTACTTTTGCTTATCCATCGTATGCACGGATACGAATAATTCGTTAGAGCAGATCAACTTATTATTATTATCTATGAACGTATAACCAGGCAAGATTTATTCGAGAGGAAACGAATGACGAGTGTTTCTTTAATTTCAATCTTTCCATAAGATAAATCAAGCGTATCTTCAAGGAGATTTCTCAATAATAGAGCCGTTATAATCGGCTGATACGCTAGTCGGCACACTGAAATTCTATGTCATGGACCCAGCCTTGGATTAAGCCTACGATACGTAGCCAACCCAATTATATATTTATTTACCACGTAATATCGCGCTGGCCCTGATCCGACCGCAGCATGCAACTCTTGTATAATCGTCATTATGTAATTGGCCACGGAGGCGAGCACGATAATCGGACTCGTTAGCTAAAGTCAGCTTCGAGCCCTACGAAATCCAGCCCTATCGTCCAGAAAATCGAAAATCCTGCAACATCTTGTTCGAACGAAAAAAGAAGAAAAGAAAAGAAATGGAACTTCAAACATCCGAATCAACCGAGTAAACATTTATTTTGTCGTTCGACGATAAATCAGGAGGTCAATGGACACGAGTTTCGTTTGCATTTACCTCACTTTCAAAATTTATACGAGATAGAGGAAGGAAAAAGAAAAATGTTTTCAGCGGGAGATTCGATTAATCAGCCGGAACCTTTTGACCTGTATCTGATGTAAAGTAAATTTTGTAACGGATTAGGCAATCGCTCGCTTCTATATGTTCTCGGTAATGAGATAACAGTTATTTCGGGACGTGTTGGTAATTAACTCGTGGAATTCTGCTGATTTCATAAAACGCTCCACGGTCTCCGTTGATATCCGATGTTCTGTCTGGGCAACGGTGATTAGATATTCCGGCAACACGACACGACATTTGTAACCTTGCCGATCGTTTGTTGTATTGGTTAGCCGTTCGATGGTAGATGTACTCGCGATTTACGTCGCGTTAAATCAACAGTAAACTTTCGAACCAGCTACGATTCTACGATATCTACGTTCTAATTGGATCGAAATACCTGCGACCGCAATTTTCAATTGCACAATTAAGAATTCATAGGATAACTATCCGTTACCGCTTACCTAAGCGACTGATTTCGTACGAGCGAGCATAACTCATTCGTGTGACTTTTAAATTAAACAAACGAAGCGAAAAGCGCCATCTTTTGGGGTTGAAATATAAGCCGCGTTGTTTCGAAGTAAATATCATTGCGAAATCATTTAATTGTGAATCTATGTCGCGCGACGGTGTGTCGAAGGTGAAGAGAACCGAGAGGCCGTGCTCGAGATAAAGTTCCCCAGGTAGATGACATTTCTGTCGCGCGGTATCTTTGCTGCCGATCGATCGATCGGGTTCACCTTGTCGCGTTGTTATTGCGATAACGGTACACGAACATTGACGATGAAAAATGGGTGCCGAGTCGGGATTTCTCGGCGTGCACGCGTCCGGATCGTGACTCGGTAGAGCAGCTTAAGCAAAGCTGACAAAAAGAGACGCGTGCGCAAGGATTGTCGAAGTGCGCGAGGTCAGTGCTGCGAAATGACACAATCGCTTCGACATTGCTCGCGTTCGTGTAACCGACGTGCCACCACCAACGGAATTCGCGTACCGACGATTATCGTCGCGTTACCCCGACACCCATCCTCGATTTCCGATCGCCACTTCCAATCGCTTATGTAATATCCTTGATATTTTTGGCTGCCAAACGCGCCTGGCCGGGAACACTCGATGCCTCGCCCTTTGAACCTCCAACTTTTTTAATTAGGTGCACCTTCAAACGTCTGAGGTTCTTTAAATTATTTCTCGCGTTACGAGCAATCGATTATGGTCTAATTGTGCAGGATCAACTATTAGAAAGCCACAAGTTTCAGCATCAAGACGGATGCAATCAGGTTTCAAGATTGATATACCGAAACAACCTTGCTATTAAACCTGGTACGTTACAGTTGCATTATCCCTGAGAAATCGTACGATAAAGATTCCAGAAACGTGGAAGAATTCTATCCGACGCGATTACGAATGATTGTAGCGAAATTTCACGAATTACGTCGATCGTTGCGTCGGTGAATAGGAAGTTGATTCCGCGAGAATGATCGTTTCCATTTCTTTTTCGCGTTCTTGGAAAAACTTGACGCACGGTCGGCCTTTTCTGAAACAGGGAAGAGAAACGGATCGTTGCGATTATACGAGAGATTGAAATATCGCGCAGGTGGTGTCCATTACGGCAATCTGTGGCGAACGGTGACGTGGATCGAAGAAAATTCTATCTTGCCTCACGGACGAACACGAAGGCCAACGTTCCAGCTGGGAAAACGGGGAAATAAAGAACGAGGATGCTCGACGTTCTCGTCCCGCGTAGACGAATCGAGACATCAACGTCCATTCGAGGAGCACTTGACGAATAACTCGTCTCCGTTGATTAGATCGATTGCTCCGAAACATTTGCAAATTTCATTTGGTCCGAGTTACGTTTGGACGAGATTTCAGTTAGGTCCGTCCGCTTCGAAGTACCCTCAACTATCCTTAGGTTTCGAAGGGGGATGGCTTTTCAGTTAGGTCTCGTTAGTTTCGTCGTTTTCCCTTTGAAATGTACAACTGCTGCAGCAGTTAATAATAATTCTATGAAACGATGAAAAGGAAAAGAAACTTAGTCTGGTGATAGCTGTCGACGCGATATCAGTGACGGTCGATAAGGCTCGAAGGGAAAAACAAGGGGGGGATTTTTTTGTATCGGTGACGTAAGAAGTTACGGCGACCGATTAGCATTGCAATCGTCGTTTATCGTGGCGAGAGAGGACGGCGCGCGAGTAGGAGACGCTGAATCGCGGACAATAATAGCGGTTATTAATACGTAATGGTCGTTATCGGCGCGAGACTTCGCATCGACGACGGTGATATAACGCGTAAACATCGATCCAAGCCAAGGAGAACGATCTTGGATAATTTGTTTGTCCGATATCCATGGCTGTCGCGCGAATAGCTGTATAGTTTAGAAAATGAAAGATTTTACGTTACGCGTTTCTTATCCGTAAGCGATTCGAAAAGAAGCATAAAGGCTGTCGTGCCTCCTACATGGTGTAGGAACACGTAAGCCGATTATTCGTTTATCGGGAGCTCGTGAGTCAACCGGAAGAACGTTCGTCATCCAACGGGGGCAACAGTTGACGTCCGTGTACGTCGACGCCTTTATTTCCTATTTTTCTTGAATCTCCGTCGACGAATTAGCTCGGCAACGAGGAAAGTCCCGTGTTTTTTCCCCGTGCATTTACGTCTCTTCGCTGCGGTTTAGTTGCAAGTTTCATTTCGGTAACAAGCGTTTCCCTGCTGACTCACGCGGACGATTAATTATCCTGCTCGATTAACGAGATGGTTAATTGCGAAAGAAACCGTGAACCGAGCGCAATTTTTGGTCACCTTCCCAACTCTTTGCCAAATAATGCATACGTATGAACAATGTGACTCATCCAATTTGATCATCTCGAGTAACATCGAATTGTACGTTTTAGTAAAAGATATTGCGCATTTCGAGGGAAACGTTACATATAAATATGCGTTTATTTTGGTGTTTCTCAGACTTGAACGTCGACTTTGTTTCCTTTTGCAATTAGATGGAATCTTCGAGTCTTTAAGCTAGCAACTTTGCTGGCTTCAAGAATTAATGTTTCTTCCCGAGTAGAAATATCGGAAAAGAGTATTATTTATAAACACTTCCGCGTTTCGGGTGGAACTTGGAACGGGAATCGGGATTAGGAAATTCCTGTTTCGCCAAATTTCTACGAACAACCGTTAACAAACATTCTGTTTCTGAGAATTATTCGGGCAACGCGTGATTACGTGTGCGACAATTTATCGAAAACAAAGCTCATCGATCTTTTCTTTTTGTTACAGATAGAAGTACACCAGCGGCAACGTAAGGGTGAGTCGTAAATTCTTTCTCTTCTACCATTGGAAATCGTTCGATCGATGCGTTTATTTCAAGATCGAATTCGATTCGGCGAGAAAGGCGAGATGGCTGGTCTATTTCGGATTACTATTCGATTCCATGTCCCACTGGTCTACTCACCGTCTAATTCTATTGTTACATAAATACTACGATGGCCAGGACGACATAAAAGGAAGTCGTACACGTTCGGACGATACCTATTTCCGGCCTTCTTTCCATTCCTCTCTCCTCCCTATTCGATCTTTAGCACGCGTAATTGGGCCGAGCTTTCGTTTCGTTTCCATTCGATTCCTCCGGAATTTTTACCTCCTGTTACTCCTTTTCGCCGTTCCTTTCTCATACTTGCTCCGTCATCTCGTCGACGCGACGGCGATCCCTGAATCGTTGTGAAAATAGGTTAGCTATCCCGTCGACACCTTCGTTTTTTCGCTCCCCTAGTCCCCTAAACGATTCAAACTCTTCGCTTCTGACGGAAAATTTCTCTCATTAATGCGAGCTGTAAATTTCTTCCTAAACCGCGTAAAAACGCGATAGAAAAGGATGACGAGGTACGAAAGCGTCGAAGCGTACCTTGCTACGTTTTCAACGCAACAATGAACGTGTTAACAAGGACGGGTTTGAACGAGGCGATAAACAAAATCGATTTCGCAATTAACGAGCTATAGCAAGCCAGACGCTGTCTAATGTCACTTCAAACATCCTTATCAGGCGACGATAATCGTCTGACGCCCGCATTCAGCCGTTTATCGACTCGCAGTCCGCGCTGATCGACGCTTTGTAATATTTATGAAGTTACATGCTCACGTTCCTCGCAGCTCGCACGAACTCTGTTTGCCTAAGTGAATCAGTAGTTACGTCCCGACGCGGGTTGTTAAGTCGTCGCGTCGGAACGCAAATGTCGTCCTTTCGCTAATTTCGGGTCACCGCCTTAAATTTTTCCTCGTAATAGCTTCGGATAGATCGGTCGGTACAACGATGTTAGAAGAAATTACAATATCTTATTTTAAGGAAAACTATTCTCTTCGTATCCGGTCAAGGTCGGGGTAACTAAGTACCATGCCGTCCATGGGTTTGACCTTACTTGCCACCTATACATATATTGGAAACTCTTGTCAGAAGCTATTATCAATAATTTTTCTTTCTTTTTCAACGGTACATCTGCTTTATGTTATCATTTTATCGCCTAGCTTCGACGCGAGGATATTAGCACACCCTACAGTAGGATGATTTAAGTTTATTTAAAGAATTTGCATAAAAATTAGTAACGGATCGTTGAGCGAGGACTTGCGAGAAAGTTGCAGCGGATGTCCCTCTGGCGATGAATGCAACAACCATCGACGCGGTATAAATCCAAGCTTCGTTAATATTCTGAAAGTGAAAAAGTACAGAATCATCCTGGCGATCGAGCGAAATCTATTTTTTTTTACCGTCCCGAACGCTACCTTAATTCGCAGACAATTTTTATCGCCTCATTTACGTTTTACCGTCTATTGTTCGCCTTTTACGCTCGTCTCTTTCGCATCGATGCAGAGTAAACAGCGAGAAACGCAACTTCATCGTGTACCTACTTGTTTTCAGCCGCGTTTAATTAACATTTTCGATATAAACGGGAAAAACAATCGGAGTAATTAACCGTTCGGCACGGATCACCGAGGAGCCTCGATATCGCATCCGCTCGCGTTTTCTGTTCAATTTTACGAGACGTCGTTAACGCTTGCGCCACTCTCCACGAATCCTTGGACTTTACACCGAAACATATTCCTCTATCTTCCTACGTGTCGGGTCCACTTTGTCATTTCGATGCTTCGCCAATTGTTTATCGATCTACTTAGACCGCTGCTTGATCCAGATTCGAATAAATTTAACGAAATATCTAAACCACTCGTTACATCAAGTAGGTACACGATTCTTTCGCGTAAAACGATCGCAAGGAAGTCGAGTGCGCTAATGATTTTCTGATTACCGAATAAACACGCGTCTATTACGCAATCGTGAAGATTGGTCGCGGTGTTCGAGTTAAATTTCGTTCGAGGCGACGGCCTTCGTTAAAATAGGCCAGCGAGATAACGATTACGCTGGATAGAAGCTTCGAACGGTCCACGAGAACGATAGAAATCGTCACGTTAGAGACCGATACGTTACACCGTGATACCGTAATTATGTAACGAAACGAAGCGAAGGTCCTCGATTACCATCCCACCCATCTTCTTATTTTTCGAGCATACGTTCCTCCGATGGTTAAAACGCGCGATACAGCATTGTCAACGCGATTTTCATCGAAACAGAATTAAGAAAACGTATTTCGCTGCGGCTCGAGTCAGTGGAACGTCAAGAATTTTGATCGTACCGATCTGATAAGTCTTAATCGTTCCAATCTATCCGAAATAGACTGCAACGATCGTTTTTAACAAAAGCTCGATCAATTTCACGGAAATTGATTTGCTCGAATCACGGCTGTCGATCGACAATAAGGAACGTTGTATCAAGATTCTTTGCTCGATCGTTGAAAGCGTCACGAATGTTGGAAACGATAAGGCTGAATTGGCAAGAGATCGGTCAACTTTCTAGGCGAGGCGTTGCTTAGCGATTTTTCCCGCGGCTAGCCTCGTTTCGTTCGATTCCTCGGCTGGAAACCGTTACAGGGGGACACGGGCGCGAGAATCGAACCGATGAGCGCCGGAACTTTCACGTGACACACTAAAACCGCGAAATGCAAACCGCCGTCGCGTCGCGTCGCGTCGCGTCGAGGGAGGTAATCGAATCTGACGACACGCGAGAAAAACAAGCTTGCAACGAGCCGTTCCAATTACACCTTCGTCCCCTTTCACCGAAGGGAACTTCTCTTCAAATATTTCTAAAAATTTATCAAAAATAAAATGAACAAAGTCAAAGTCTCGGTTGCTTTTATGAGCGAAAAGGTAACAGGGTTGAACAGCCACGAATTACGTTTACCAGCGAACGGGCTCGAATGGTTGCGTAAAGCTTTCAGGCTGATGGAGACGCATATTTTCTGTAAGTAAAGTGCCTCGTCATAAGGCTCGGACGGCCGATTCAGGTCGCATGAACTTGTTGAGGTAGGTCCGTTCTCTCGTCGCGCTTTCAGCCTTCCATCGCGAGCAGGGCGGGCAAACGAGTCGAGGAAGAAAGGGGGGAGGTAAATAGGTAGGAGGTGAGACGCGAAGGTACTCGAAGGTGGAGGTAATCCTCGTCGAGCCACGAGCAGATTAATTTCACTGGTCCTTTCAAGGTTTAACTCGTTAACTTCCTTTTATTTCCTTAACGATTTCTCAAGAATCAGCCTTGAAATATATTTGGTAAATCGTTTCGCGAACATTTCCAAAGATTTTCAAACATCTTGAAAGACGTACCGTCGTAGAGACAATAGATTGAAATAGGTAAAACGACCGCGATCCCCCGTAGACGTGTAACCACCGTCACGCGATGCACTTTCATGAAAGTTTCAGCTTTCCATCGGCCGCGATACGAGCGGAATGGAAAAGAAACAGCGTGTCTCCCACGTGAAGCTATCTGCCCGCTTCTGCCCGCGCAGAAAATTAACGCGTTCCCCCTTAGGCGTGCCGCGCCTAATCGACCACGGTCTTCATTGTTCCCAGCTAAGTGAAAATCACTGGAAAGTCTGACGTTTATTTTCTCTGCTCGACCTTGCCTTCCCAAGTTTCACATTTCTCTCGTCGTGAAACAAAATATGAAACAATGATTAATAACGAATTAAGAAGGAGAAGCTTTATCGAAAGTTCGAACGCTGACGGGAGGGAACAAGTACAAGAAAGAATAGGAAAAACTTGACTGAAAGTTAGATTTATGAAAAGGAAAGATCGATCGATTGCGAAAGTATCGTTCTCATGGTGTTCGTGCCAGTTTCAGCAGCCACCCTCTATATCGATTTCGAAACTCTACGTGACGGTATACGTGTCGGAAGCGATTGGCCAGCAAGAGAAAGAGAAAGGTGAAGTGCACGCATGCTGCGCGTCCGCAGAAGAAAGTGCAACCACGGCCACGTTTCTTCCTTCTTCGCCTACCGATGCAACTATCGCAATAATTCCTTATAAGCCACTGTTCTTCTATCGAAGAATGTTTATTAATAATTAACGTGAACCGTATGGCAGGAACGTTAATAATTCATATCTAACATATAATACATAATAAGAACGTAAAGTTCGATTCGCATCGAGTAAAATAAAAAGAAAAAAATGAAAATGAGAAAATCGTCAATTTATGAAAGAAAATATTTAATCGACGATCGGTTAATAAATCTTGGAGCGTAAAACAAGAAGTCCCGATTGTACGAGCGAGTCGGATATCCGACAGCCTCTCACTTCGGATATCTCCTGCAAGAGATTACCCAAGTGGTTATACGTCCGCTGCACTTTCATCGCGCTGTTACTCGCCAATTACTAGTAGTTACTGCAAGCGGAGTCGAGCGGAGACGAGACGGTGAACGTAATCGTGGAAGGAGGAGAAAGAGGAGAAAGAGCGCTTCTAGTTTCTTCCCCTTTCTCTTACTCTTTAATATGGAACTGACATGCTTTTCAATTTGATTTCAAACAAAATCCTGGTAAACCCATAGATGTCTATTATTTCAGAGAAAAAATTAGAATATTTTTTGACGAGTTTATCGTTTCAAGGTATTCTATGAGAAAATGATTTTCAATCAAGTCCCGTTGATTATATAGAATACTAGTTTCGCTCATCGATCAATTATACAAGAGAGTCGTTTCTCTCAGGTAGACTGGTTATCACCTCAGCCAACGCGTTAGGCAGTTGCACTTGAAGTTAATCGTTTGTGAAAGTCCATTTCTACCGATAAACGAATTCAAGTTTATTAGGAATCTTGTTTTGTAATAGTCGTTACACTCTCGTCCTAGAAAGTTGTTCGAATTCATATTTATCGATAACTTTTTCCTTTTTTTATTTTCGAAAGACAGACGATCTCTGATCGATGGATAATAATTTTAGTTGAAAACTCGTCGTTGATACTTGAATCGAATCGACTAGAATCGAATGTTGATTGCTGAAAGGAGGACGATCGGGTTAAAAATCCTAGCCACCGGGAGAAATGGAAAAAAGACTTTCACCGTCGAGAAGGTAGAGGCTGGCAGTGTTTCTCTTCGGCCCACGGAGAGCCCCTTGGTAACTCTCCTTTTGCGCTTGGCTCGTGGTATAACCGTCGAGTAATACCGGCGCGGATTAGCGCGATGAAAGTGCAGCAGCGGATGTATAATCATTTAGGTAATCGGTGTGAGACAATCTCGGTGGAGGAGAAAATCATCGGTACCGGTGCCACGGCCAAGGAAAATTGCGCTTTCCACTCGCGTTACTCTCCATCGAACGAGGGATTCGGGTTGACTTTCGTGACGGGAAGGGAATAGGCCGGTTTATCCTTCCGTTCTCCAACAGATTTCTCTAATCTCCTTTGCAATAAACGCCGATCGACTAGCAGGAAAAATACCGTTTATTTTATCAACTAGTTTCTACTCTTCTTTAATTTGTAATCGAATAGCCGTATAAAAGAAGGCTGTAAGCCTGTTTTCACATTTATTTTTTTTTTCGGGGATTGATTTGGCAAATACAGAACTACGCAACGGTACGAATCAGCGTAATCGATCAGAGAGACGTTTTCACTGCGACGACCCACTTCTCGTCCCGCAGTTCTATCGGTGCGCGTGCAGCGAACAACCGAGAGAAAGTTTTGATCTCGAACGTGAAACCGGCCGGCGGATTTTCACGTCATATCCGATCGGTCGCCGCAAAAAAGAATGTGAAAATGCGACGGATATTCCGCGGGAGACGCGGTTGCACCGGTGAAAGTGGAGTAAATCGTGTCTCTCCTTTTTTTTCCCCCCAGAGAGAGCTTGCTCCTTCCTAGCCGATCGGCTTCAAGTTCACTCCGCGGTTCTATAGATCGTGGGAGCTTCGACGATCGATCGTTCTGACGAAGAACGATCTAGACTTTCGTCGACGCTTCCGAGACGTTCGACGCGTTCGTTCTGCTGTCGTATTTCGATGACGCATAAATTTTCCATAAGAAAAGGGTTATTGACGCACGCTTCGCGTCGGATAACGCGTCCGTTCGAGAAGCCGAGGAATGTTCGAGAGTGGCGGCCGTGGGACACTCTCGAAAAACTTTCGAAGACATTGAACCCTGGTCCCGAATCGAGTGGAGCCCGGTTTTCTGCCGTTTGTGCCGAATTCAAGTTCACGGACGTCCGTCCTTCGGCTACTCGCGAGTTCGAACTTGGATTTTTCTATTATTCGTACACGCACCGTTCTCGGTCGATCTTTGCAGTTTAAAGCGTACATTCGCTGTGCAAATCTGGCGTCGTTAATGAGCTGAGAACGCGGCATTA